AAGGTTCTCTCTCCATAGTCGGTTCTTTCCTCAGTAGGGTCTCTCTTCTCAGTAGGTTCTCTCTCCTCAGAAGGTTCTCTCTCCTCAGTCGGTTCTTTCCTCAGTAGGGTCTCTCTCCTCAGTCGGTTCTCTCTCCTCAGTAGGGTCTCTCTCCTCAGTAGGTTCTCTCTCCTCAGAAGGTTCTCTCTCCTCAGTCGGTTCTTTCCTCAGTAGGGTCTCTCTCCTCAGTAGGTTCTCTCTTCTCAGAAGGTTCTCTCTCCATAGTCGGTTCTTTCCTCAGTAGGGTCTCTCTCCTCAGTAGGTTCTCTCTTCTCAGAAGGTTCTCTCTCCTCAGTCGGTTCTCTCTCCTCAGTAGGGTCTCTCTCCTCAGTCGGTTCTCTCTCCTCAGTAGGGTCTCTCTCCTCAGAAGGTTCTCTCTCCTCAGTCGGTTCTCTGTCCTCAGTAGGGTCTCTCTCCTCAGTAGGATCTCTCTCCTCAGTAGGGTCTCTCTCCTCAGTCGGTTCTCTCTCCTAAGTAGGGTCTCTCTCCTCAGAAGGTTCTCTCTCCTCAGTCGGTTCTCTGTCCTCAGTAGGGTCTCTCTCCTCAGAAGGTTCTCTGTCCTCAGTAGGGTCTTTCTCCTCAGTCGGTTCTCTGTCCTCAGTAGGGTCTCTCTCCTCAGTCGGTTCTCTGTCCTCAGTAGGGTCTTACTCCTCAGTAGGATCTCTCTCCTCAGTCGGGTCTCTCTCCTCAGTCGGTTCTCTCTCCTCAGTAGGGTCTCTCTCCTCAGAAGGTTCTCTCTCCTCAGTCGGTTCTCTGTCCTCAGTAGGGTCTCTCTCCTCAGTCGGTTCTCTGTCCTCAGTAGGGTCTCTCTCCTCAGTCGGTTCTCTGTCCTCAGTAGGGTCTCTCTCCTCAGTCGGTTCTCTGTCCTCAGTAGGGTCTCTCTCCTCAGTCGGTTCTCTGTCCTCAGTAGGGTCTCTCTCCTCAGAAGGTTCTCTGTCCTCAGTAGGGTCTCTCTCCTCAGAAGGTTCTCTGTCCTCAGTAGGGTCTCTCTCCTCAGTCGGTTCTCTGTCCTCAGTAGGGTCTTACTCCTCAGTAGGATCTCTCTCCTCAGTAGGGTCTCTCTCCTCAGTCGGTTCTCTCTCCTCAGTAGGGTCTCTCTCCTCAGAAGGTTCTCTCTCCTCAGTCGGTTCGCTCTCCTCAGTCGGTTCTCTGTCCTCAGTAGGGTCTCTCTCCTCAGTCGGTTCTCTGTCCTCAGTAGGGTCTCTCTCCTCAGTCGGTTCTCTGTCCTCAGTAGGGTCTCTCTCCTCAGTAGGTTCTCTGTCCTCAGTAGGGTCTCTCTCCTCAGTAGGTTCAGAGTAAATATTCCCACAATCAGAGAAATGGCACATTCTTCTGTGATTCTGTTTAATGATAAAGCACAGAATCCTCCCTCTGCAAACCACAGCCCACACACACACACACACACACTGATACACACACACACATACACGTTTTTGTTACCTGGTGGGTCCCTTTGACAGGGCCTTTCAGAATGGGACCCATAGACATAATCTTTTTTTACTGGGACTACTTTAAGTAATACAAAACAGTCAATAAAAAACAAACAACTCTTTTAAAGGAATTTTATTTTAGATTTTTTTTTTGAATGGCAGTGATTCTATTTTTGACATAGAATTTAATGCCACTCCATGTCCGATGTCTAAGGTCATCTGGTGAGGCATTAATGCAGGCCAGGCCAGGCCAGGCCAGGCAGTGAGACTTCCCAGGGACCTTTCCAGTCTGTATGAAAGGTGTCATGGTCTTCTCCACAGCCTTCACCTCAGATGCAGACCATGGCTTTCTCTAACGTTCGAGGGAGAGAAATAAAAATATATTAGCAATATACACTCCCAGGGTTAGGACCAAGCAGCCTGGCTGTAATCCCCCACCTGGTACACTTACCAGAAGGGGCACTGCCACTACCATGGGGTGCATCTGGATGAATGGTTGAAGGTTCTCCGCTTGAAGTTTCTTTTAGCCCGTCCGTTTGTGAGAGGATCTCTACTGCTCTCCCTGTCGCACAGAAAATAAAAATACAAGTGGCCTTTAGGGGAAAAAAAATCATACATATTTTAATAATATCAAGAATTACCTTCAGGCTCAATTTGTATCTGGTCGAGGCTCTTTCCTTCAAATTCCGTCACTCTTCCCTGCTCCATGGCCATCAACACTTTGCTGATTTTGGCCAGCTCCAGTGTCCCCTCTGGTAGTCTGTAATATTGCCTGTGGATGCGAATGTCATGGCCGAGGAAGTTGGCAAGTATGTCCATCTCATTCTCTTTCATATTGAGAACTGTAGACATAGTAGCTATGTGCTTTCTAAGTTTGGTTGAGGATAGCATCTCTGGATGCACCGCACCACATTCTTTGGCTACCTGGCGTAGGGAGTCTGATCCCCTGATGTGGGTGTCTGCGCCCGGGCGGGAAAAGAAGTATGGGTTATGGTCAGAGATGGAACAGGCCCTTCTGTTCTCCACCAGCACCTCCATCCAAGCAATCATTTCAGGAGTCAAAAGAACCGGCACTTTCCCACTTCTTTTCCCTTTAATTTCAATGCGTTGAAAATGCTGACACAGCTTTTTCTCAAGTTGGGACAGTCCCAGAGCAATGTCAGAATGGATCCCAGTCTTACTTCTTAAGGAAAGGCTGTCAGTGGCATCTTTGAAACCTCACCTTCCCTTCTTCGATTGAAAATAATGACCTCACAAAGAGTCAAAACTGCCAGTTTAGACCAATGCTTAGACGTTGGCTCACTTATTAGGGTTTGCACATATTCAGGTCGACATACCTCAATATGTGCATGCATGGCTCTAACGTCCTCAGTCAGAGGGAGCAGGTCCGGAGTGTTCCACTTGGCTTGCCGGAGGGTCTGTAGGGCAGCAGAAGAAACACAGACGTCCCACCTCTTCTCAAAAAGCAGCCGGCTTCGTTGGAGGTTTTTAATAAATAGTTCATCAACACAATGCTCCATTTTTGAGTCACATTTAAGAATATCTGCTAGCTTTCTGAGGCTATGGCCGAGTTTGAGGGCCAAGGATGGAGTCTTGTATTGATTTGTTTCCTCATCATATCCAGCCACAGACCTGACTGCATCAATCACATGGTTAAAGTTGGAAGGAATAAAGAAATCCTTCATTGTTTTCAGTTTCCCTGCGGTTTTTGCTTCGTTAATTAACCTACCGACTTCTCTCATTTTCTGCCTAATGTAATCATGCTTAGTCTTATCATGCCCGTGTTTTAAGTACAGGTGCTCTCCGAGTCTCAGAATCCCCTTTTCTGCTTTGACAACACCCGTGACCTCATCCTGATGCATTGCCCAAATTAAAGACCACAGCTTTTTGCTGATGCCCTCCGGTACAGGCTGGGCTAGGGAGCAGAGGGACTGGACCCTACTTCTACCTGGTTTAGCCTGGGCATCTTTCTGTGAAAGCCGGCACCTGGCCACATGCCTCCACAGCGACTTTCGCTTAAGCAATGCCCCACAGTCTATACCAGGGGTGCTCAATACGTCGATCGCGATCTACCAGTCGATCGCAAAGGTAGTATTGGTAGATCGCATTAAATAAATAAAAAATTACACATTCTAAACGAATATATACAAAAAACTCCGGGCAAAGTGGAGATTTTTGAAAACTCCGTTAATGCATTTGTGTGTAGACAGAGATAACCGGAGTTTTGCGTTCTCGCACGCCACAGTACCCCCCTAAATTCCTCTGATCACTGAAGCATGGATCATACTACCTTAAAAACTGTTCGCTGTGAGATGCTCGCAGCAGCGAACATCCTCCACATCAGAGAGCAGCAAAGTGATCGCGGGGACTCACGCTCGAAAACAACCAAACCAGGACTAAACCAGGACTAAACCAGGACTAAACCAGGACTAACCCAGGGCTGAGGACGGGGTCAGTGCTTGTAAACATACGTCTTTACTCTGAGTGTCTTCTATGACTGTAAAAGTGCCGTTACCGGCGTCTGCATCAAAGCTCCGCCCACTTCTGTGTTTTTCCCCAACGCAGGACAGGACGTAAGAGACGCACATGTTTGGAATGTTACGAATGTGATTGATAACGCAGATGTGTGGATGCAAATTATTTTATAAACGGAGGAGGGGAAATATTTGGATTTAAAAAAACAGGCATGGCACATGGACATGGCACCACAGTCAAATGACATCTGTGTTTTACTCAGTAATGTTTTACTGACACTTAGGTGACTGCACATGCGCAAACAACCGCGCTCAGTGCAGGAAAGCTAAACCACGACAAACTTGTCAGCGAGTTACCACCAATTTTCCGGACTATGCATCCCTGGCCGATTCAATTCAGTGCAAGTCATCAGAGTAAACTCGGGTAATGACAAAAAATGTACATAGGTAATTGTGTTGTGTTGTGCTATATTGGCTCATGCGGTTTTGCATGTACATAAACATACATTGTAGGTATAAAGAATATTTTTTGCATTTTTGTAGTAGGTAGATCATTTTGACTTGATCCTTTTATAAGTAGCTCGCATGCTGAAAAAGTGTGAGCACCCCTGGTCTATACAGTGCAAAAACTCACTGGATTTAACTGGGCAATTTGGCTGTTTAGCTGGGACTAAAGTTCCAATGCCGGCCTTTAAAACCTCAAAATTGGGCTCACGGTTTCCACTATTCCTGATCAAATCAAACTGAAGTTTACGTGCTTTAGATTTCACAGGTAGAGCCAATGCTCTGGCTACGTCACTTTCATTTCCATGTTTTCTAGTCAAATGACGGGACATTTTGTGGCAGGACATTGAACAGTAGAGGCAGAAGTGTCTCTTGCTGTAAACTCGCCCCCCATTTTTCTTCTTTTGCAGCTGCATGATAACAATCTTATTTGCCTTTGGTTCGTCACTTTCCGAGTCTTGAAGAAAAGTGTTTTTGATTTTTCTTTTTCCATACTTTTTTACAGGTTTCTTCTTGACAGTTAAATCGTCAGAATCTGAGTCGACTTCATCAATTAGGGACTCTTGACTAAGCTGCACAAACAACAAATAATTTGTAATAATTCTATATAACAATTTGAAGTCATGACTTGTAGTCAGCACTTACCAGTGGTTTGTAAGCGTGCGCTTCAGTGTGCTGCTCTGTGATTGGCTGCAGCCTAATGAACCACACACTTGCACCTTTTCTAGCCTGACACCTGATTTCCTCTGTTGTGCTGCTCCATGATTGGCTCCAGCCTCTGTTGTGCTGCTCCATGATTGGCTCCAGCCTCTGTTGTGCTGCTCCATGATTGGCTCCAGCCTCTGTTGTGCTGCTCCATGATTGGCTCCAGCCTGCTGGACTGAAATTGCCCCAGTGTGCCCCTCCTTGATATCCCGCAACCCACCACCAGGGTTCCGACACATAACACACTTTTTTTAGGAAAGTAAACCTCCAGGGGTCCTTTCCATATTTTTACAGAGACTGCATAAGGACCGTTAGAAAAGCATTACCCATTGATTATTAAGCTTGGACCAGTGGGGTCCGGTGTTCGGGCCCCACCACGTAAAACCAGTCCCCATGACGTGAGTGGAATCTCAGGTTATGGAACCCACCAGGAGTTGAAAACAAGTGCACACACACTGATACACACACACACACACACACACACATACACACTGATACACACACACACGTACTGATACACACACACACACATACACACACACACTGATACACACACACACACACACACACACACTGATACACACACACACACAGATGCACACACATACACACATACACACACACACACACACACAGTGATACACACACACACACACTGATACACACACACAGATGCACACACATACACACACACACACACACACATAAACACACACACACACACAGGTCCAACATCACCCTCCCTCACATGTGGGTCAGAGACAGAACTCAGGGACTGCACACGACAGTTCTCACTATGACAGAAAGAGAGAGACTATAGGGCTCAGAGAGAGACCAGAGAGAGACCAGAGAGGGACCAGAGAGAGACCAGAGAGAGAGAGAGAGACCAGAGAGAGACCAGAGAGGGACCAGAGAGAGACCAGAGAGAGACCAGAGAGAGACCAGAGAGAGACCAGAGGGACCAGGGAGAGAGACTAGAGAGAGACCAGAGAGAGAGACCAGAACCAGAGAGAGTCCAGAGAGAGACCAGAACCAGAGAGAGAGACCAGAGAGAGACCGGAGAGAACATTGAGAGTTCTGAGAAAATCAAGAGAGACCAGAGAGACTAGACAGACTAAAAGACCAGTGACCAGAGAGAGACCAGAGAGAGACCAGAGAGAGACCAGAGAGAGACCAGAGCGAGAGATGACGGATCTTAAGCATAAACTCAATGCAAAGACATTTTCAATCATTCTTCTTTAGTTTCTTTTCTGTTTCTCTGCTCAGAACATGTGACCATGAGGCCCTGTCCTCCTCTGGTCCCGGACCATGAGGCCCTGTCCTCCTCTGGTCCCGGACCATGAGGCCCTGTCCTCCTCTGGTCCCGGACCATGAGACCCTGTCCTCCTCTGGTCCCGGACCATGAGACCCTGTCCTCCTCTGGTCACAGACCTGTGTTGACCTCGTCTCATATTGACCGCAGCAGCTGCAGCGACACTCACTGCTCACGGATCAGAAACTATTGATTATTGAGGATTGATGATCACGGAGTCTGGAAAACCATGTATTCTGCAGCGTATGGTACTCTGACAACACCACAACACTACTCTGGTCTCTCTCTCTCTGGACTCTCTCTGGTCTCTCTCTGGCCTCTTTCTGGTCTCTCTCTGGTCCCTCTCTCTGGTCCCTCTGGTCTCTCTCTGGTCACTCTGGTCTCTCTCTGGTCTCGCTCTGGTCCCTCTGGTCTCTCTCTGGTCTCTCTCTGGCCTCTTTCTGGTCTCTCTCTGGTTCTCTCTCTCTGGTCCCTCTGGTCTCTCGCTGGTCATTCTCTGGTCCCTCTGGTTTCTCTCTGGTCTCTCTATGGTGTTTCTCTGGCCTCTCTCTGGTCTCTCTCTGGTCTCTCTCTGGTATCTCTCTGGTCTCTCTCTGGTATCTCTCTGGCCCCTCTGGTCTCTCTCTGGTATCTCTCTGGTCTCTCTCTGGTGTCTCTCTGGTCTCTCTCTGGTCTCTCTCTGGTATCTCTCTGGTCTCTCTCTGGTCTCTCTCTGGTCTCTCTCTGGTATCTCTCTGGCCCCTCTGGTCTCTCTCTGGTCTCTCTGGCCTCTCTCTGGCCTCTCTCTGGTCTCTCTCTGGTCTCTCTCTGGTCTCTCTCTGGCCTCTCTCTGGTCTCTCTCTGGTCTCTCTCTGGTATCTCTCTGGCCCCTCTGGTCTCTCTCTGGTCTCTCTGGTCTCTCTCTGGCCTCTCTCTGGTCTCTCTCTGGTCTCTCTCTGGTATCTCTCTGGCCCCTCTGGTCTCTCTCTGGTCTCTCTGGCCTCTCTCTGGCCTCTCTCTGGTCTCTCTCTGGTCTCTCTCTGGTCTCTCTCTGGCCTCTCTCTGGTCTCTCTCTGGTCTCTCTCTGGTATCTCTCTGGCCCCTCTGGTCTCTCTCTGGTCTCTCTCTGGTCTCTCTCTGGTCTCTCTCTGGTCTCTCTCTGGCCTCTCTCTGGCCTCTCTCTGGCCTCTCTCTGGCCTCTCTCTGGCCTCTCTCTGGTCTCTCTCTGGTCTCTCTCTGGTCTCTCTCTGGCCTCTCTCTGGTCTCTCTCTGGTCTCTCTCTGGTCTCTCTCTGGTATCTCTCTGGCCCCTCTGGTCTCTCTCTGGTCTCTCTCTGGTCTCTCTCTGGTCTCTCTCTGGCCTCTCTCTGGCCTCTCTCTGGCCTCTCTCTGGTCTCTCTCTGGTCTCTCTCTGGTATCTCTCTGGTCTCTCAGGACGGGTCTGTGAGGACAGGTCTGTGTCCAGGACAGGTCTCAGAAGGTTTCAGTGATGAACCTATCTGTGGAAGATCAAGTCTGAACCACTGTGGCCTACCTTCTGCTGTTCACTGCCCACAGGGGCCAGACCCAGGGGCCAGTGTGAAGCCCGGGACCGGCACAATACTGTTCCTGGAGCTTTATTGACAAAGACAACATCACAGATCAGTTCCAGGAGCCAGAGAGAGACCAGAAAGACCAGAGAGAGATCAGAGAGAGATCAGAGAGAGGCCAGAGAGAGGCCAGAGAGAAATTAGAGAGAGACCAGAGAGAGATTAGAGAGAGACCAGAGAGAGGAAGGAGAGAGGCCAGAGAGAGATTAGAGAGGGACCAGAGAGACCAGAGAGAGACCAGAGAGAGAGACCAAAGAGAGGGACCAGAGAGAGACCAGAGAGAGACCAGAGAGAGATCAGAGAGAGACCAGAGAGAAGTATAAGTATCTCAGTATAAGATAAACTGTATCGATCTCACAATAGAGAAATGTACTCGTCACATTAGCTGCGCGGCGACGATGGACCGCGGAGGGTTTCTCTTCCAGTTTCTCCAAACACACTGGTCCAAGGTTTAGGTCTGTTCTATACAATTAAATCTGACGAGTTTCACTTTGTGTCCACAGATGTTGCACAATGGGCCTAACGAGCGTGTGGTGCGGGGCATATGTTGTGTGTGCGCGTGTCTCCGTCAGGGCGTGTGTGGCAGCCGCGGCTCCGTCAGGGCGCGTGCTGCAGCTGTGGCAGTGTCAGGGCGTGTGTGGCAGCCGTGGCAGTGTCAGGGTGTGTGTGGCAGCCGTGGCAGTGTCAGGGCGTGTGTGGCAGCCGTGGCAGTGTCAGGGTGTGTGTGGCAGCCGTGGCAGTGTCAGGGTGTGTGTGGCAGCCGTGGCAGTGTCAGGGCGGTGTGTGGCAGCCGTGGCAGTGTCAGGGTGTGTGTGGCAGCTGTGGCAGTGTAAGGGTGTGTGGTGGCAGCCGTGGCAGTGTCAGGGCGTGTGTGGCAGCCGTGGCAGTGTCAGGGTGTGTGTGGCAGCCGTGGCAGTGTCAGGGTGTGTGTGGCAGCCGTGGCAGTGTCAGGGTGTGTGTGGCAGCCGTGGCAGTGTCAGGGTGTGTGTGGCAGCCGTGGCAGTGTCAGGGCGTGTGTGGCAGCCGTGGCAGTGTCAGGGTGTGTGTGGCAGCTGTGGCAGTGTCAGGGCGTGTGTGGCAGCCACGGCTCCGTCAGGGCGTGTGTGGCAGCCGCGGCTCCGTCAGGGCGCGTGCTGCAGCTGTGGCAGTGTCAGGGCGTGTGTGGCAGCTGTGGCAGTGTCAGGGCGTGTGTGGCAGCCGTGGCAGTGTCAGGGCGTGTGTGGCAGCCGTGGCAGTGTCAGGGTGTGTGTGGCAGCCGTGGCAGTGTCAGGGCGTGTGTGGCAGCCGTGGCAGTGTCAGGGTGTGTGTGGCAGCCGTGGCAGTGTCAGGGTGTGTGTGGCAGCCGTGGCAGTGTCAGGGCGTGTGTGGCAGCCATGGCAGTGTCAGGGTGTGTGTGGCAGCCATGGCAGTGTCAGGGTGTGTGTGGCAGCTGTGGCAGTGTAAGGGTGTGTGTGGCAGTTGTGGCAGTGTAAGGGTGTGTGTGGCAGCCATGGCAGTGTCAGGGTGTGTGTGGCAGCCATGGCAGTGTCAGGGTGTCTGTGGCAGCCGTGGCAGTGTCAGGGCGTGTGTGGCAGCCATGGCAGTGTCAGGGTGTGTGTGGCAGCCATGGCAGTGTCAGGGTGTGTGTGGCAGCTGTGGCAGTGTAAGGGTGTGTGTGGCAGCTGTGGCAGTGTAAGGGTGTGTGTGGCAGCCGTGGCAGTCAGGGTGTGTGTGGCAGCCGTGGCAGTGTCAGGGCGTGTGTGGCAGCCGTGGCAGTGTCAGGGTGTGTGTGGCAGCTGTGGCAGTGTAAGGGTGTGTGTGGCAGCTGTGGCAGTGTAAGGGTGTGTGTGGCAGCCGTGGCAGTCAGGGTGTGTGTGGCAGCCGTGGCAGTGTCAGGGCGTGTGTGGCAGCCGTGGCAGTGTCAGGCCGATGTCCATCCTCTCTTCACCTGCTAATAGGATCAAAGACGCTGGGGTTGTAGCCGCGTAGCTAACCGAGCGGACGCTAATGCCGAACGCGCGCCATCTCTGTCCATCTGCTGCGGGAGGCGCCAAACCGCTCCCCAGGGATTAGCACCGACACAGCCATATTTCATACATCAGGAACTGGGACAAGCCGGGACGGACCATGAGAGGAAAAAACAAGAAAATCTCCAAAACTCCCAGAGCTGTCGTTGTGTAATTTCTTATGGTTTTTGTTATTTTCTGTAAACTTTTTTGTTCTTCTGTTTCTATATTTACTTTATTCCTATGTAACAATTGTTATGAAATTATTTGTTTTTGCAATGTCCGGAGAGAGACCAGAGAGAGACCAGAGACACCAGAGAGAGACAAGAGAGAGACCAGAGAGAGAGACCAGAGAGAGAGACCAGAGAGAGAGACCAGAGAGAGACCAGAGAGAGAGACCAGAGAGAGAGACCAGAGAGACCAGAGAGAGAGACCAGAGAGACCAGAGAGAGACCAGAGAGAGAGACCAGAGAGACCAGAGAGAGACCAGAGAGAGAGACCAGAGAGAGACCAGAGAGAGAGACCAGAGAGACCAGAGAGAGACCAGAGAGAGAGACCAGAGAGACAGCGTCACAGGAAACAGTTACGTTTAGTTTTAAAAACTACCACATTATTACAGTGATGCTTCAGCAAAAATACTGGGTCGCAAGGCGGGTTAGATGCCCGAGTCGCTCTGACACAGCCGCTCAGGTGGAGGAATATGTTTTTCGGATTCAGATTATTTGCAGTAAAACCACCTTGGCAAAAGTTGTCAATATTTTGGAAAAACTAACGACAAATTCAAAATCAAAGGGTTTTTGGCCATTCTGGGAATTAAGCTCAGATCTGGTTAAATGGGACATATGGTCTTCCATATGACTCACCACCTCATCAATGTGGGTGTGTGTGTGTGTGTATGTGTGAGTTTGTGTGTGTGTGTGCATCCGTCTGTGTACGTATGTGTGTGTGTATGTGTGAGTGTGCGTTTGTGTGCGTCCGGTTGGTAATTAGCCGCGGCTCATCCCTGCTAAATTTTCCATTGTTTGTTCATAACTTTCGTGGGGACACTTTGGGATTATGGCGTAATCCGAGCGAAGAGACAGACGCCGCTAAAGTCGATTTAAAGTTAAAGGACAGAAGTGTGAGGCGGGATTATTTATGTAGCGCTCAGTAAAGCCACAATTAACTACATTCAAACTAATAACTGTTTTCTGTCCATAGACTGTAACACACTCTGAGTGACATCACTACAGCGTCATCACTACAGCGTCATCACCACAGGCACATCACTACAGCGTCATCACTACAGCCACATCACTACAGCGTCATCACCACAGGCACATCACTACAGCGTCATCACTACAGCCACATCACTACAGCGTCATCACTACAGCGTCATCACTACAGCCACATCACTACAGCGTCATCACTACAGCGTCATCACTACAGCGTCATCACTACAGCGACATCACCACAGGCACATCACTACAGCGTCATCACTACAGCGTCATCACTACAGCCACATCACTACAGCCACATCACTACAGGCACATCACTACAGCGTCATCACTACAGCGTCATCACTACAGCCACATCACTACAGCCACATCACTACAGCGTCATCACTACAGCAACATCACTACAGCCACATCACTACAGCCACATCACTACAGCGTCATCACTACAGCGTCATCACTACAGCGTCATCACTACAGCCACATCACTACAGCCACATCACTACAGCGTCATCACTACAGCAACATCACTACAGCGACATCACTACAGCCACATCACTACAGCCACATCACTACAGCGTCATCACTACAGCGTCATCACTACAGCCACATCACTACAGCCACATCACTACAGCGTCATCACTACAGCCACATCACTACAGCCACATCACTACAGCGTCATCACTACAGCCACATCACTACAGCGTCATAACTACAGCAACATCACTACAGCGTCATCACTACAGCCACATCACTACAGCGTCATCACTACAGCAACATCACTACAGCGACATCACTACAGCCACATCACTACAGCCACATCACTACAGCGTCATCACTACAGCAACATCACCACAGGCACATCACTACAGCCACATCACTACAGCGTCATCACTACAGCCACATCACTACAGCGTCATCACTACAGCCACATCACTACAGCGTCATCACTACAGCCACATCACTACAGCGTCATAACTACAGCAACATCATTACAGCGTCATCACTACAGAGACATCACCACAGGCACATCACTACAGCGTCATCACTACAGCCACATCACTACAGCCACATCATTACAGCGTCATCACTACAGCCACATCACTACAGCCACATCACTACAGCGTCATAACTACAGCAACATCATTACAGCGTCATCACTACAGCGTCATCACTACAGCGTCATCACTACAGCGACATCACTACAGCGTCATCACTACAGCGACATCACTACAGCCACATCACTACAGCCACATCACTACAGCGTCATCACTACAGCGTCATCACTACAGCCACATCACTACAGCCACATCACTACAGCGTCATCACTACAGCCACATCACTACAGCCACATCACTACAGCGTCATCACTACAGCCACATCACTACAGCGTCATAACTACAGCACCATCACTACAGCGTCATCACTACAGCAACATCACTACAGCAACATCACTACAGCGTCATCATTACAGCGTCATCACTACAGCGTCATCACTACAGCGTCATCACTACAGCCACATCACTACAGCGTCATCACTACAGCGTCATCACTACAGCGTCATCACTACAGCCACATCACTACAGCGTCATAACTACAGCAACATCACTACAGCGTCATCACTACAGCAACATCACTACAGCGTCATCATTACAGCGTCATCACTACAGCCACATCACTACAGCGTCATCACTACAGCCACATCACTACAGCGTCATCACTACAGCGTCATCACTACAGCGTCTTACTACAGCGACATCACTACAGCCACATCACTACAGCGTCATCACTAGAGCCACATCACTACAGCGTCATCACTACAGCGTCACCATTACAGCGTCATCACTACAGCGTCATCACTAAAGCCACATCACTACAGCGTCATCACTACAGCGTCATCACTACAGCAACATCACTACAACGTCATCACTACAGCGTCATCACGACAGCGTCATCACTACAGCCACATCACTACAGCGTCATCACTACAGCCACATCACTACAGCGTCATCACTACAGCGTCATCACTACAGCGTCATCACTACAGCCACATCACTACAGCCACATCACTACAGCCACATCACTACAGCGTCATCACTACAGCCACATCACTACAGCGTCATCACTACAGCGTCATCATTACAGCGTCATCACTACAGCCACATCACTACAGCGTCATCACTACAGCGTCATCACTACAGCGACGTCACTACAGCGTCATCACTACAGCCACATCACTACAGCCACATCACTACAGCCACATCACTACAGCGACATCACTACAGCGTCATCACTACAGCGTCATCACTACAGCCACATCACTACAGCGTCATAACTACAGCCACATCATTACAGCGTCATCACTACAGCCACATCACTACAGCCACATCACTACAGCGTCATAACTACAGCAACATCACTACAGCGTCATCACTACAGCGTCATCACTACAGCGACATCACTACAGCGTCATCATTACAGCGTCATCACTACAGCCACATCACTACAGCGTCATCACTACAGCCACATCACTACAGCGTCATCACTACAGCGTCATCACTACAGCGTCATCACTACAGCATCATCACTACAGCATCATCACTACAGCGTCATCACTACAGCGACATCACTACAGCCACATCACTACAGCCACATCACTACAGCGTCATCACTACAGCGTCATCATTACAGCGTCATCACTACAGCGTCATCACTACAGCAACATCACTACAGCGACGTCACTACAGCGTCATCACTACAGCCACACCACTACAGCCACATCACTACAGCAACATCACTACAGCCACATCACTACAGCCACATCACTACAGCGACATCACTACAGCGTCATCACTACAGCATCATCACTACAGCGTCATCACTACAGCGTCATCACTACAGCCACATCACTACAGCATCATCACTACAGCGTCATCACTACAGCGTCATCACTACAGCCACTTCACATATAAAGATGGATTTTAGTTCAAAATGGTGATGTTACACAAACGTACTGAGCTCGAGGAGTTTACTTTTACATGAAGTCAATAGGCTCTATGCACGCACCACTTCCGCGTTTTAGCTACAACCCCACCTCACTTCCTGTTCCCGGGAAACGGCTTGAGTTTCACTGGAGTTCAGCAGTGGTTTACACGAGTTTCCCAAATAATGCTCAAACGGGAATTAAACTGTGAGGATACTGGGCATTTTTGGGACACAGCAGTGCTCTTTGATTGTGCTGTCATTGTGTTTTTATAAAGTTTACAAATCTCTCTGAGTGGCCACTTTTGTGTCAGTCTCAAAGCTGAATGCATCGATCTAGTTACTAAAAAACGTACCTAAAACCCTCCTAAAAGCCATAGGATAGCATAGGCAGGAAGTGAAAGGGCTGTGCTTTGTTTACCGGAAATTACGTCACGCCTCCCCGTGCATATAGGGTCGGCACAAGATCATATACGGAATCGGGACGAAACCGGAAGTAACAATCCTACTTTCAAATTCATTTTAGACTAATTCGTCCTTAAATGGTGACTGGTTAAGTTTTAGGTGTTTAAGTAAGATGGTTAAGTTTAGGGTTAAGGCTGGGTTGGGGTTATTTTATGGGAATGGCTGGTTAAGTTTAGGCATGAATAGGTATTTTGTTATTTTTACTTCCGCTTCCGTCCCGCTTCCGTATATGATCTAGTGTTGACCGTGCATATAGCCCGTAGGAGCCAGAGAGAGGAGCCAAACTTCAACCCAAATACTGCATGTGTAACCACAATTGTTTTGCCATATTTCAGCAATGGTTTGAATTTATATTTGTGTAAATATTTGTTTGTAATTTAGAGATAATTATCTTATATTTAGTAAAGGTCTTGTTGAAAATTTTGTTGGAACTGTTGTCATTCTCAGATGTTGTAGGGGGGGGGTAAAAAAAACCTGTAAAAAAAAAATTTCTTTACAGGTTTGTATTTGAATGAAACGTCCACACTTTAGAGTACCTGTGGTAGTAAATAACAGAAGGTTTAGATTAATTGTGTAATTTTTGAGAGCAATTTTGTATGTTTAACTGTCGAACGAGCTAACGGTGCTAATGCTAGCGACAGAGCCCTGTTCTTCAGCTAGCATTAGCCATGAACAAATAGAGCGGTAACATGTAGTTCCCTTTTACTTCTGTCATGCGGATGAATAAGTTTAGGACCCAGTCAGTTTTAGTTGTTGTTGTGTGAAGTTGTGAAGATTTGACACAGTTTAAGTCAAGAGTCAGTGTAATGCTAAAGTTAATTTGTATTCAATCTGAAGAGGCCGAGACAGAAACATTAATGCATGAAAAAGATTTGTTTGTTTGGCTGAGGCTAGAGGCTGGCAGAGCTCTGTGATTGGCTGAGGCTCGAGGCTGGCGGAGCTGTGTGATTGGCTGAGGCTGGAGGCTGGCAGAGCTCTGTGATTGGCTGAGGCTCGAGGCTGGCGGAGCTGTGTGATTGGCTGAGGCTGGAGGCTGGCAGAGCTCTGTGATTGGCTGAGGCTGGAGGCTGGTGGAGCTGTGTGATTGGCTGAGGCTGGAGGCTGGCGGAGCTGTGTGATTGGCTGAGGCTCGAGGCTGGCAGAGCTCTGTGATTGGCTGAGAGCTGTGGCCGGTCTTTCAGTCTGAATTTGCGCTTCAGCTCCATAAGTGTCCAATAAGTAAAAGTAATTTAGAATTACATTTGAGAATATAGAAAGAGTTTCAAATGTAATGTTTAAAATGTGAATATGTGAATTTGCTAATTGTTATTAATAAGAGACTCAATCTGGAACGAGTCCTTCTCTGAGACGTTTCTTATTTTTGTACATATTGTGTTTGAGTATTTTTGTTCATGTGGTCACAACCACAGATTGGGACCCGTGACATTAGCGTTGTCTCTACAGCTAACATGAGCTGCCATGGCCTGTTGTACCTCATTTTAACGTCTCAAGAAACACAATTTATATTATTCTAAAAATAGTTATTTTATAAATCATAAATCAGTGGTCGATCCTTCAACTTGAACCCGGTTTTTTGATTCAGTCCAAACGAATCGTCACTGAAATGCTTTCCAGGAACATTTACCGTGAAAGAAGTTTAATGAAAGAAATACTTTGATAATTTAGAAAAACACACAAATGAAAGACTTTAATGCTATTGGAGCTAAAGAGTTCTTCTGGATACAGAGTCCTCTCTCGGTCCATATGAACCCAAATATAATGAACCATGAGACAATAGCCACACAAACATGTGACATCACAGCCTTCCACTGGAGTCTCCTCTGGACAATGGCTCATACTGTTCCTATAATAATGAATGGGCGGCTCCTATTGTCCTCCGCACTGACCCTGGACAGTTTTACTCATGTTTGTGGTGTATTGTGGCAGCACCATATGGGATCACAGCCTCGGGTCACGCTGAGCGGACACGCACCATGTGGGGATCATATAAAACAATGGTTCTAATCCCGGACAATCGCTTTAATCAGCGTTTGATAAGCGTCCACGGATACGGAGAATACCAGAGATGGACTTACCATGGACCAGCTGGTTTATTAAGGAGGCTTAGGGACGTCCTCACATGGTCCTCAGCTATATGGAGAGGGACCAGGAGGTGGCTCAGGGACGTCCACACATGGTCCTCAGCTGTGGAGAGGGTCCAGGAGGAGACTTGGGAACGTCCTCACATGGTCCTCAGCTATGGAGAGGGACCAGAAGGAGGCTTAGGGACGTCCTCACATGGTCCTCAGCTATGCAGAGGGACCAGGAGGAGGCTTAGGAACGTCCTCACATGGTCCTCAGCTATGGAGAGGGACCAGGAGGAGGCTTAGGGACGTCCTCACATGGTCCTCAGCTATGCAGAGGGTCCAGGAGGAGGTTTAGGGACGTCCTCACATGGTCCTCAGCTATGGAAAGGGTCCAGGAGGAGGCTTAGGGACGTCCTCACATGGTCCACAGCTATGGAGAGGGACCAGGAGGAGGCTTAGGGACGTCCTCACATGGTCCTCAGCTATGGAGAGGGTCCAGGAGGAGGCTTTGGGACGTCCACACATGGTCCTCAGCTATGCAGAGGGACCAGGAGGAGGCTTAGGGACGTCCTCACATGGTCCTCAGCTATGGAGAGGGTCCAGGAGGAGGCTTAGGGACGTCCTCACATGGTCCTCAGCTATGGAGAGGGTCCAGGAGGAGGCTTTGGGACGTCCTCACATGGTCCTCAGCTATGCAGAGGGACCAGGAGGAGGCTTTGGGACGTCCACACATGGTCCTCAGCTATGGAGAGGGTCCATGTGGAGGCTTAGGCTGCGGTCACATACTCAGCCTAAAGCCTGGTTTAAGTGTGCCAGGGCCCAGTTCGCAATTTGATCCGGGCTTTAGGTGCCATGTTAGGTGCACGCTTTCTGCAGGTGGGCCCCAGCACGGATGAAGACTTGGGCCACAGCACGTTTTGCAGCGCGGATGAGGGGGGTTAGTGTGGGGGTGGTGGGGAGTGGGGGATGAGGTGTGGTGGGGACGTGATATTGTGCGTCACATTACGTCTTCCTGTGACACGCGTGACACAAGTCTCTCCTGCACTTTATTCTCTGCTTGTGTTACATCTTTCATATACGCCCCCGGGCCGTGGTCGAGGGGCACAGGGGGGTGTCGCTCCAGGGCCAAAGAAAACCGTTTCACAGTGCGGTGCTATTACAATAACACTTCAGACATTCAAGAATCAGTCTTTATTTGATTGCCAGAACACACACACACAAACATACAGCTACAGTAGTAGAATATAAACAGGAAAAGAAGCGGAAACTCAACTCGGTCCACATGGTTGTCGCTGAAGTTACATGGTTTTCAGTTATGGAGAGGGTAAAGAGAGGGACCAGGAGGACACCAAAGACAGACTAAAAAGACCTGACCCTGTATTTTCTTTGTTAGAAATCACACTGTGAAAATGTGGTTCTCTCTTTACAGTGGTCTGAGACGTCATCATCATGAGACACGGCTTTCAAGAGCACAGGGACCAGAGCACAGGGACCAGAGCACAGGGACAAGCCACAGGTCCGGGGTATAGGTATGTTTGTATCAGGTCTTGGGCCCGGAGACCGGACCAAGACTCAGAGAGAGGACTTTATGTTCTGTTTTAAATCTAAATCTGGACTTTTGGGGAAGAATGACGAGAGAACGTTTCTCAAACAGACACTGAGGGCTCTGTCTTTTTACACTTTCAAGCTTTACTTTAAACCTTTTACGGATGGATCAGTGAGTATCGGTAAACAGACAGACAATGCTAACCATCCATCCGTGACCATAGGTGAGGGCGGGAACAAAGATTGATCGGTAAATTGAGAGCTTTGCCTTTCGGCTCAGCTCCCGCTTTACCACAACTGTCCGATACAGCTCTGACTGCAGACGCTGCTCCCTCTTTACCACAACTGTCCGATACAGCTCTGACTGCAGACGCTGCTCCCTCTTTACCACAACTGTCCGATACAGCTCTGACTGCAGACGCTGCTCCCTCTTTACCACAACTGTCCGATACAGCTCTGACTGCAGACGCTGCTCCCTCTTTACCACAACGGTCCGATACAGCTCTGACTGCAGACGCTGCTCCCTCTTTACCACAACCGTCTGATACAGCTCTGACTGCAGACGCTGCTCCCTCTTTACCACAACGATCCGATACAGCTCTGACTGCAGACGCTGCTCCCTCTTTACCACAACCGTCCGATACAGCTCTGACTGCAGACGCTGCTCCCTCTTTACCACAACGGTCCGATACAGCTCTGACTGCAGACGCTGCTCCCTCTTTACCACAACCGTCTGATACAGCTCGGGCCGCGGGGGGGTGAGCGCAAATATCAAATCATTTTGGGGCCACCAAACTGAAAACCCTAAAATTCAATGCTGCAAACCAGATAAATTAAATCCGAGGCCTATCACCCCAAACCAAGTCTGAAAAATTAAACTATTTTTAAGAAGAAGGTTTTTAAAGTTCTTTTTTTAACAGTGGAAAAAAGAAAAAGTCCTAGAGATTGTTTTTCTATGTGCACGACAGAAACAAAAATAGAATGAACGGAAGGAACACGGACCCTTGGCCTGCGGCTTTGTTCAGTTTGACACCCCTGCTCTACAGGGAAGTGCTCATGGACCGAGTTTAGCTCCAAGTCGATCTGGCACCTTATGATCTAGTTACCTGCTCTATGGTTACCTGCTCTATGGTTACCTGCTCTATGGTTACCTGCTCTATGGTTCATGCTCTATGGTTACCTGCTCTATGGTTCATGCTCTATGGTTACCTGCTCTATGGTTACCTGCTCTATGGTTACCTGCTCTATGGTTACCTGCTCTATGGTTACCTGCTCTATGGTTACCTCCTCTATGGTTACCTGCTCTATGGTTACCTGCTCTATGGTAACCTGCTCTATGGTTACCTGCTCTATGGTTACCTGCTCTATGGTACATGCTCTATGGTAACCTGCTCTATGGTTACCTGCTCTATGGTTACCTCCTCTATGTTACCTGCTCTATGGTTACCTGCTCTATGGTTACCTGCTCTATGGTTACCTGCTCTATGGTACATGCTCTATGGTTACCTCCTCTATGGTTACCTGCTCTATGGTTACCTGCTCTATGGTTACCTGCTCTATGGTTACCTGCTCTATGGTTACCTCCTCTATGGTTACCTGCTCTATGGTTACCTCCTCTATGGTTACCTGCTCTATGGTTACCTGCTCTATGGTCACCTGCTCTATGGTTCATGCTCTTTTTGGTCACCTGTTCTATGGTTACCTGCTCTATGGTACATGCTCTATGGTTACCTCCTCTATGGTTACCTGCTCTATGGTCACCTGCTCTATGGTTCATGCTCTTTTTGGTCACCTGCTCTATGGTACATGCTCTATGGTTACCTCCTCTATGGTTACCTCCTCTATTGTCACCTGCTCTATGGTACATGCTCTATGGTTACCTGCTCTATGGTTCATGCTCTATGGTTACCTGCTCTATGGTTCATGCTCTATGGTTCATGCTCTATGGTTACCTGCTCTAGGGTCACCTGCTCTAGGGTTACCTGCTCTATGCTCTAGGGTTCAGACACATGGTCCATAGACTGTAAATAGTAACGAACGTAGTCACGCCTCTCTCCACCGTTCTGATGGTGCTTTCAGACGCCAACGCTGAAGCATCGCTCACCAGACGCACATTCTCTAGTTTTCAGACACAGAGGTCTTCACACCAGAACGTCCTGGCCAGCCCTGGAAGTGCCGGAAGTAGCCGGCCGGCTCTGATGCTAACAGAGTTTAGCTAGCAGCTTCTCGTGTACAGATCTTCTCCAATATGCAGCTTTGCAGCGTGTCTTTGAACAGAACCTTCCACAGGCTTTATACAACAGCAGTATGTGTTCACGGAGGTGCGCCATACGTGATTTCATATTATTAAACGGAATTTCCGCATCGGCGAACACACTCAAAGCAGTTGCATAAGGTCACGGGAGCGTGACAACGCATATTTTCACAAGCACAGAGTCCCCCATTGTCAACCCTGGTTTGAGTTCTGGTGAAGTCTGGTGTGGGTCCTGTTTTGGCTGTTTACAGTATGTTCAGTCTGCTCGCTCAGTCCGCTAATGTCCCCGTGACCACTTTGCTGCTCTCTGATTGGTTGTCGCACGAATGTCTCAAGGAAAGGATGAGCAGAATCCATCTCCTGTGGGCGTCGATTTTTCGCTCCTGCTCCTCCTGTGTCTACTGAACAGTCCGTCTGTGCGTGCCGAGAGCGAGTCACCATAGACTTAGCATTGAAAGCCGACGCATGATCCGGTCTGAAAGCACCATAAAACCAAGAAAAGCATCTGCGCATGCGTCAGCTGCACGAGCCCCTCTTCAAAAGGACGTATATCCCCATGCATTGCATGGATATGGATTGAATTTAACTAATGAATAAAAATAAAGTCAGTTAGTACTAGACTAGACTGGTCCAGAACACCCCCCTCAGCATTGACACACATGTGGAACGGAGCTTTGGGCCAAGAGCCAACTTTAGGTCCATCCTGTAAAGACGTTTTCGAGAGGTCTGCTAATGCTATATGTTAGCATTGGCTAGTTCTTATTCCGGGTCCACCCCCATCGGCCCGGGGTGGTACTGCAGCATGTCAGCGCACCTCATTTTGGCCACTTTTGAGCCGGGACCCGCCCCCACTGTTCAGGACCCAGTGTAGATAAACATTTGCAATCAGCGAGGCCAAAGTTAACGATGCCAAAGTTGCCAATGCTAACCCGAGCATAATCCCGGGGTATGGCGGTGACAGCTTGGCCTTCACACGTCCGCAGCTTAAACACAAGTCCAATTGATTTGTGACTTTAGGCTCTGTTTGACCTTGTTGGGAGCATCAAAGACGCAGACTAACAAAAAAACGTTCTCAGATTACGTCCCAATCAGCCGCTTAAGTACATTACATAAGACCAGGCCTTTGTGGGGGTTCGGACGGGCCCAGATGGTGCAGGCCCCGGGATTAGCCAAACCCTTAGAATAATACATGGCTAATGAACACAATAGTCCATGATTACGGTGTTAGCGCGGCACAAAGGCCTGACACGGCTAATTCCAGACACCTCTCCCAGTGTCCTTCCTCTGTCCCGGACCAGGACCAGGACCAGGACCAGGGCTGAACCATGGGGGACATAATCAGAGGCGGTGCTAGCATTAGGGTCTGACATGCTAAAGGGGCCCCAGCCCACTGACCTTCATGGCTCTGAGGGTCCGAGGCTGAAGTCCAGTGAGTTCAAGTAGAACCGGCTTAAGGAAGCAGGACATGGAAATAAATACATTTCATTTTTGATCATAAAGAGAA